AAATAAATATAAAAAAATACTCCAAGAACCAGTTTCAAGGACACTCTGCTTGAACACACATCAAAAAAATTAGGAAACCCCCCCAGATACATTCACAACTATCTGGGGCATGGCAGATACTCACAATCAATGGGAAATATTTTAAATTTCTGGAACCCCTCTGGAAATTAAAGAAGTGCAATTTAGAGATAAATTGTGTGTGTTCCATTAACTGGAATAGATTTTTTCATAAGAATATTAAGAACAACCCTGCTGGATCAGGCTGAAGGCTTATCTAGCTATAACTTCCATAGTTACCAAACAGATAATATATGAAACCTCAAAAAGCAAGGACTGAGTCGATAGCTTTCTCCCATAGTCATTCCTAATCAAATGGGAAACTTAACATGCCACCAAAATGTGTAGTAGTATTGCATATGATACAGATGCTGTTTACTTTTAAAAACCAACCACAGGAAAGGGATGAAAGAAGTATCCAACAAGCAAGAAAAGCTAATGACATTATTAATGAAAACATAAGATTTCAAGGAGAGAAAGAGGGAAGGGCGAAGGCAGTGAAACACCCAACTGACATTGAAAGAAAGCAGATGTCTGCTGTTTCCTTCCTATTGGGAAGGAAAGACACATTAGACAAAGTTGAAAATCCCAGCTGCTGAAGACTGTAATGCTCAAGGATAAAATATTTATAGTTCATACAAGAAAGAGAAAATGAAGAAAGCCCAAAAAAGTGCTCAGGGATGCTTTAAAACACAACTAAATAAACAAGACAAGGAATTTTGACACAGGTATAAAGTATACACAAGCCCAAGACCACCCTGACTGGACTGGATGGAAGTTTATATCAGAGGTGAACATGTGGCTCTCCAGATGCTGTTGGACAGCAAGTGCTAAGAGACCTAAATAGCACAATCAGTGGAGAGGGCTGATGGGAGGTGAAGTTCTTTAGCATCTGGAGGACCATCTGTTTGTATCCATTTTTTTCAGATGCACCTATATGCCCCCCAAAACGGACTTGGTAGTTAAAAGCAATTCAGTCCCTGAAGCACAGTGGGTGGCATTGTATTACCTGTGAACCATGGATACTGGTCCCATGAATAAAAAGGTTGTACTGTAGTTATTTGTGAACTACAGTATTATTGTGCTATTGTGTTATATATTGATGTTTTTAATCTGTTAATTGTTTAATTATTTTAATTGTTTTATATATGTATGTATTTGGATATGGGCATCGAATTGTGCCTTCTTTTTGTAAGCCGCCCTGAGTCCCCCCTCGGGGGTGAGAAGGGCGGGGTATAAGTAGCAGAAATAAATAAATAAATAAATAAATAACTAAAATGGATTACAAATTAAATTAAATGAGTCAAAAGTTTTGTGTAAAGATGTGTGAATCATTTATTCAGAAGAATTTTGACAAAATGATAGACAAATATAGATTTGTGGAGTCTGCCAAACATGGATATATGCAGGAATGTGACACAGAAGCAGGACCATCAAGAAACATGCTTCAGATTTGAATTACACACTTCCGTTCCTAAACAAGTAAGACAGGCACATTTCCTACTTTCTTTTTGCAGACAAGTAAAGACTTTTCTACTCTGACAGGCATTTGATACATGAATATAGAAGCCTCATCTTACACAATGTGTTGGATATTGCCAATTGTTGTGCTGGTGTATGTCTTTTAAATGATGCACATTTTAACCTGGTTTAAATTTCTGATTGTTTAATTGTGTTTTAACTGTTGCAGCTTGTGAACTTTTAACAATGTATTTAGAATTGTTGTAAGCCACTCTGAGTCTGAAAAAAGTAAGAACACATTCAACGACAACAGCAACCAGCTTGCACTTGCTGCTGTTTATAGCACAGCAAATCCTCTGGCGAGGAAACAAATATGACACAAATGTTGCAGGCCATTGCAAAAACTCTGTCACTATCAATGTCCATCATCCTAGTGGCACAATTGTCCAGGCTTCTCCTTAAAGTCTTCCATAAAATGCACCCACGTGCCTTCTTTTCTCTTCCTTCCCAGATTCCGTGCTTAAGGCAAAAACAAACAAAGCACCCTCACAAACCCCCAGCAGTGCAGCCAAAGAGCAAATGCTGACCTCCAAAACACAAGCTCATCTCCTTAAGGTCTTCCACAGAGATAACAATGATCAAACCTTCCCTCTTCCCTGAACAGCAGAACACGAATTTGTGCTCTCCTAAAGTATCTCCCTCAAAAGTGTGCCTCCCTTTGGTGTCATTTCCTTCAAAAGCAACCCTGTATGCAGTGGAGTTGTCTTTCCTGCAGCCTTTATTCTGCTCTCTCTTAGCATTCACCCTCTCTCCTTCTAACCTTCTCCCTGCTGGGGAAAAAACCAAACAAACTATTTCCATTCTTTTGAAGATTATGCTCCTCTCCTCTCTTTTACTTTTTCCTCCTTTTACCTTTCCGTTCATTTCCTGCCACTCTTCCTTTTGTCTGCTGGAAACATATAAGATCTTATGTTTTTGTCTTCTGGATTGCTAACGGAGAGCTAACATGTCCCCATTGCAGAACGAAAGAGACGTGAAAGTGTTGCTTGCCAAGTGAAGAGCAAAGACAACTGGTGAAATGAACATTCAAGTGTCCCCAAACTGTCTCTAGCAGCAATAAAGCAACTCTAAAGTGGCAATCTGGCAAGCAGACAGGACAGGGGGCCAAGGGAAAGCAACAACTCTGTTGTGTGGTTTTCTGCCTGTCTTTTGTGGGTAACAAGCTCTGCAATAACAACTCTCTTAAGTAAAGAAACGTATTTACAACTTAAGAAGATTTCTATTCAGTGAAGCATCAAACTAGCTACTTTGTCTTTTTCAACAACAACAGTCCACGAGTAGAAGATAGAGATAATTTTTTTGTCCTTTTTTCAGTTTTGGGCTAGGTTCTCAATGGAGGAGATTCTGTTACTTTACAGTGCTCAGGGAGATGACAATTATCGCCAATGATTGGCTAAGCTAGCAAATAAGAGCGGGGAAAGGCAACCATCATAACAAGTCTATTCTGATAGATATCCTTTTTTGGGCAGATCGCAATATGAGGTAAACTAAAAGGAAGATGCACCCCAAATTTGATCTGACCTTTACTTCTTTCTTGCTTTGGGACAAAAGGTTGCCCAAATTGAAAGAAGCACCTAGGGCAGAACGTTCATATGCATTCCTGAATTCAACCGTGCAGAATATGTTGTCTACTGTGGTTGTGTGCTTGTATCTGTGGATGTGTTGATGTGTCTCCAGTTGCAAAGATATGGAAGATGGAAAGAGCCCTTCCAGGCTTCAGGGTAGAAAGAACGCTACATTATACAATCCACAATATCAGAAATGTTGATTTTCACAAGAAGGGGATATATGTGGGTGGTTACAGTAACTTGCTATAAGAAAGTTTGCATTACTGGATCACGACAACTACAACAATCTATTTGAGCATGATTTGAGGTGACATTTCTGTCAGTAAGCAAGAGACTCATCAATTTCAATATACAGAAAGTTTCAAGGGGCAAAAATGACAAAAGACATCTTACTCATAATAAAAGAAGCACAGAGCCAAGAACTTGTAAACTGGTCAGAGGGATGGACAGCTTACTCAAGACTCCTCTTCAACCATTTTCAGAAAAATAGAGTCTGATGGGTTTTTTTAATGATGTAGGCCACGGTTTCTGGGTTCAACTGGTAGAAAGTTTGACCATTCTTGAGTGGTCAGACTTTCCCAAAACAAAAACAACTCTGACCCCCTGCTCTTATAGAATTAGTTTATGCTTAATGAATCTTCATATACAGAACAGCTTCCACAACTTCTCGTGGTTATGTGATACCATGGATAACTGAGAAACCTCATGAAAACTGAGAACTTCTGGCTCAAGAATACCACAAAGTGATATTTGAAAGTGCCCTGGCCCTTGAGGGCTCTAAATGGAGGTCAGCTGTGACCAACAGTGCTGCAGAATTCGAAGAGGCATGAATGGAGGGCAAAAGGGAGAAATGTGCCAAGAGGAAGGTGCATCAAGCCAACCCTGACCAGGACCACCTTCCCACCTGGAAATCAATGTCCTCACTGTGGGAGAATGTGCAGATCAAGAATAGGGCTCCACAGTGGGTACCTACGGACCCACTGCCAAGACACTACACTTGGAGGACCATCATCCTCAGGCTACAAGGGATCACCTATGTAAAGTTTTTAAGAGAGGACAGAATGTATTAGCTATGAATAAATGAAACCATGAACACTTGTCCCACGAATACAGGGATTGTACAGGAGATATTAAATTTGAACACAAATTCTCACTTACACATCAGTTAGATATAATTATGGAACCATCAGTAATCAGTATAGCATTCTGTCATGCCACCTTCTATCTGCTTGAGACGGTGTGGGACTTAATGCTTCAGCATCAAATGACTATGGAAAGGTAGTAGGTTAATGCATCTTGCATCACAGAAAAGCAGGAAGTGTTAGAAAGTACTTAAAAGGTTACTGGTGTTGCATATCCCCCCTCCCAAAGAACCATAATTCAGATAAATTGAGATGTGTGTTTGTTTATTTTTTACATTCCTCCACATATGGTCAAATGCCAATGCTTTTCCTGTTAATATTTACATAGCATCAATAACCAGTTAAAGCTCTACATAATAACATGAAGTGGCAGAAGAGAAAAATCCTGCCCCCAAGGAGTTTACACAATGAATTTTGTAATTATAAAGAATTTAATACAGAAGATGAGTAAAGGATGTAAAAGCAGAGTTATAGGTAAAATGAGAGAAAGGTTTAAAATAAAACTTGACCAGTGTTTCAAGTACCCGTTAATTTTTTTTAAAAAAAATCTTTACAATTGTACCAGAAATAGGCCACAAAAATACAAACAAGCTAAACCTTGAATATTCTAGGAAGCTTCATAAATAAAATTAGAAAATAGTTAATTCTAATATCACCCCAAGTGTCTTCATAAATATTCTAATAGTCTAGAAATGAAATATTAATTAACAACCTTAAAGCCAAAGTGTACGTTCCAGGTTGCCGCTGGCTTTCACGAATAAGATAACTTCCCTCTGCTACGCTCAATAATTGATCTGCTTCTTCTCTTGATATCATCCCATGAAACCTGAAAAACAAAGTCCATCTTTATCAGCATAAATGAAAGTGCTGTTTCAAAAGAAATATACACCAGAAAAAACAAACCCTCAGCTTTTTATATTTTAAAATGAAAAAGCATCCTTTATTTGGCAAGAATGCACAGCAAACTAAGTCCATCCTGAATAGAATTATGTTAATTTTTTTCTACTTAGCATATGGCTGGCTTGACTATTTTCAAATGGTAGGACCTTGTTGAGTTTGTGTATACGTGTGTATACCCATGTATACAGTCATGCATAACTTTATTTGTAGGAGGCAGTTATTTAAAAATGGGTGACCATGTTATGTTTGGAAACTGCAATTAGTTCAAAACAGGGCAGCCAAATTGGTTACAGGAACATCAAGGAGTGAGCATATTACACCCATATTAAATTCACTCCACTCGTTGCCAATTAGTTGCCCGACAAAGTACAAAGTGTTGGTTTTGACCTTTAAAGCCCTACTCCATTATTGCCTTCTTCTGCACAATCCACCCGTTAGGACACTGAGGTCTTTTGGAGGATGTCTACTTCAACCAGCCAGAACCTGACTGGGGACTGTCACTCAGATAACCTTTTCATTGGCTGCCCCATGACGGTGGAAGGGCCTGCCAGAAGACATCTGACAGCTAAACGAGCAGATGGAATTGAAGACCTGATTGAAGACCCATCTCTTGCAGTAGGCCTACTCAAGAAACTTTCAATCATAGTTTTGATTTACATACTATTGCTACTATATGTCAATTCTGTATCTGTGTTTTGTAGAAGATATACATACATACACACATATGCTTTTATCTATGCAATTTGTTGTATTTTTTATGTTCATATGTTTTTGAATTTGTTGTACCCTGCCCTGAGCCTTCAGGAGATGATGGGTAATAAATAAAATGTATTATTATCATTATTATCATTATCATTACTATGTTACATAGCTATTCATCTACCTTTAAGATCAGATCAAAGAACTGTCTTTTAAAGCATGTTTAAGCAGCTGTCAACCGTATACCTAATGCAAACCAAATGGCAAAACAAGAGGGCAAATTTTAGCCTACTGTCTTAGGCTCTCTAGCAACTTCAGCATATTACCTCTGATACTTGAAGAAATATATGTATACGTTTTCATGATGGTTCCACCATCAACACATTTATCCAGTCCCCCTTTAAAGCCATTTAAGAAGGTAGACATAATAAAATACAAGTATGCACTATGTGAAGAAGTATTATGCTTTATCAGTCCTGAATTTCATCCTTTTTAGCTTCAGTGGATCACCCTGGATTGTTTTTTTTTAAAATCTGAGCGAGAAAGAGACACTTCTCCATAATACTTTATCTACATAATTACTGTATATTCATCTATAAGTCAAAGTCATGTATAGGTTGAAGACACCTTTTGGGCCAAAATTATCAATTCTGTTATGAGTCATGGATAGGTTGAGGGTAAAACTTAAGGGGCATGTAACAAACAAATCTTTCCTTTTCCTTTTAAAAACACATAAAGAGAACATAATTAGAAGAGCTAAAGAGAAGCAGGGAATCTGTTTATTCAAGGGGTTGCAACTGAGGGAGCGTAATACGCATCTGGATGCATACAGATGAGGACAGGATTATAAATGAAGAAAAAGAATGAGAGCCTGACCTCAAAAATGAGGGAAGGGGAGAGAAAAGAATGAAACTACCTCTATTGAGGACCCAGTGTAAAGGAACTGACAAGAGACAGAGGTAAGACACTCTTCTTGGTATGGTGGGGCATGGAAGAAGCAATTTCTCCTTTCTCATCTTTTTTGGGGTTTGAGCAGTGTCCAGTAGAAAATGTGGGGAGTCCAAAGAATACAGCACACATGCCATTTTGAATGCTTGAGGTGGAATGGAGGCAACCATTTTTAATAGGTTCTTACTGTACTCTCTCTTCAACTGTTACAAGGCTTGCAGAGACTGCCAAGTTTCACTAGGACTATACAGTAAGACCTTATTCATAATGGCCACAACTGCTCTGCTCCACTTTAAACACCCAACATGGCAAAGAACACAAAGCATTTACAGCACTCATGCATGGACAAGTTGACCAAGATGTGTCAATGTTTTTATATTTATACATGACTATATACATGATACGCACAAGTATATGTTGTTGTTGTTCATTCGTTCAGTCGTCTCCGATTCTTCGTGACCTCATGGACCAGCCCACGCCAGAGCTCCCTGTCGGCCGTTACCACCCCCAGCTCCCTCAAGGTCAGTCCAGACACTTCAAGGATGCCATCCATCCATCTTGCCCTTGGTCGGCCCCTCTTCCTTTTGCCTTCCACTTTCCCCAGCATAATTGTCTTCTCTAGGCTTTCCTGTCTCCTCATGATGTGGCCAAAGTACTTCAACTTTGTCTCTAGTATCCTTCCCTCCAGTGAGCAGTCGGGCTTTATTTCCTGGAGGATGGACTGGTTGGATCTTCCATGGCACTCTCAGCACTTTCCTCCAACACCACAGCTCAAAAGCATCGATCTCTTCGCTCAGCCTTCCCTAAGGTCCAGCTCTCACATCCGTAGGTTACTACAGGGAATACCATGGCTTTGACTAGGCGGATCTTTGTTGCCAGTCTGATGTCTCTACTCTTTACTATTTTATCGAGATTGGACATTGCTCTCCTCACAAGAAGTAAGCGTCTTCTGATTTCCTGGCTACAGTCTGCATCTGCAGTAATCTTTGCACCTAGAAATACAAAGTCTGTCACGGCCTCCACGGTTTCTCCCTCTATTTTCCAGTTGTCAATCATTCTTGTTGCCATAATCTTGGTTTTTTTGACGTTTAGCTGCAACCCGGCTTTTGCGCTTTCTTCTTTCACCTTGATTAGAAGGCTCCTCAGCTCCTCCTCGCTTTCGGCCATCAGAGTGGTGTCATCTGCATATCTGAGGTTGTTAATGTTTCTTCCAGCAATTTTCACCCCAGCTTTGCATTCATCAAGCCCCGCACATTGCATGATGTGTTCTGCATACAAGTTAAAAAGGTTGGGTGAGAGGATGCAGCCTTGCCGTACGCCTTTCCCAATCTTGAACCAGTCTGTTGTTCCATGGTCAGTTCTGACTGTTGCTACTTGGTCCTTGTACAGATTCCTCAGGAGAGAGACAAGGTGGCTTGGGATGCCCATCCCACTAAGAACTTGCCACAATTTATTATGAACCACATAGTCAAAGGCTTTAGAGTAGTCAATAAAACAGAAATAGATGTTTTTCTGAAACTTCTTGCCTTTCTCCATGATCCAGCAGATACTGGCAATTTGGTATCTCATTCCTCTGCCTTTTCTAAACCCAGCTTGTACATCTGGCAACTCTCTCTCCATGTATTGCTGGAGTCTTCCTTGCAGGATCTTGAGCATTACCTTACTGGCATGAGAAATAAGGGCCACTGTACGGAAGTTGGAGCAGTCTTTAGCATTTCCCTTTTTTGGTATGGGGATATAAGTTGATTTTTTCCAGTCTGATGGCCATTCTTGTGTTTTCCATATTTGCTGGCAAATGGCATGCATCACCTTGACAGCATCATCTTTTAAGATTTTAAACAGTTCAGCTGGGATCCCGTCGTCTCCTGCTGCCTTGTTGTTAGCAATGCTTCTTAAGGCCCATTCAACCTCACTCTCAGGATGTCTGGTTCTAATTCATTCACCACACTGTCAAAACTATCCTCGATATTATTATCCTTCCTATACAGATCTTCTGTATAGTCTCGCCACCTTCTCTTGATCTCTTCAGCTTCTGTTAGGTCCCTGCCATCTTTGTTTCTTATCATACCAATATTTGCCTGAAATTTATCCCCAATGTTTCTAATTTTCTGGAAGAGGTCTCTTGTCCTTCCTATTCTGTTGTCTTCTTCCACTTCCATGCATTGCTTATTTAAAAATAGTTCCTTATCTCTTCTGGCTAACCTCTGGAATTGCGCATTTAACTGGGCATATCTCCCCTTATCCCTGTTTCCTTTTGTTTTCCTCCTTTCTTGGGCTACTTCCAGTGTCTCAGCAGACAACCATTTTGCCTTCTTGGTTTTCTTTTTCTTTGGGACGTACTTTGTTGCCGCCTCCTGAACAATGTCTCGGACTTCTGTCCATAGTTCTTCTGGGACTCTGTTTACTAAATCTAGTCCTTCAAATCTGTTCTTCACTTCCACTGTATATTCGCTAGGAATGTTAGTGAGATCATATCTAACTGGTCTGTGTATTTTCCCTGATCTCTTTAGTTTTATTCTAAATTGGGCAATAAGAAGTTCGTGATCTGAGCTACAGTCAGCCCCAGGTCTTGTTTTCACCGACTGGATGGATGTCCGCCACCTTTGGCTGCAAAGGATGTAGTCAATCTGATTTCGGTGTTGACCGTCTGGTGAGGTCCATGTGTAAAGCCGTCTTTTAGGTTGTTGGAAGAGAGTATTCGTTATACACAGTGAGTTTTCATGGCAAAATTCTATCAGCCTGCGTCCCGCTTCATTTTGTTCTCCCAGACCATGCTTGCCTGTGATCGCTGTTGTCATTTGACTTCCCACCTTGGCATTCCAGTCTCCTGTAATGAAAATAATGTCTCTTTTTGGTGTATTATCCAGTCGGTCCTGCAGATCCTCATAGAACTGATCTACTTCTGCTTCTTCAGCAGCTGTGGTTGGGGCGTATATTTGGATCACTGTAATGTTGAAAGGCTTTCCTTGCACTCGAATTGAGATCATTCTGTCATTTTTTGGGTTGTATCCAAGCACCGCTTTAGCGAATTTCTTATTAATTATGAAGGCTACTCCATTTCTTCGATGTTCCTCTTGTCCGCAGTAGTAGATCTGGTGGTCATCTGATGTGAAGTGGCCCATTCCAGTCCACTTCAGTTCGCTGACCCCCAGAATGTCTATCTTTAGTCTTGACATCTCGCCAATAACAACATCCAATTTGCCCTGGCTCATAGATCTTACATTCCAGGTTCCTCTGGTGTGTTGATCTTTAGAGCATCGGATTCGTCGTTCACCTCCAGTACCGTCGGCCGCTAGCCTTCCTTTCGGCTTTGAGCTAGCTGCGTCATCACATCTGGGGCTAGTTGAACTTATCCTCTGCTCCTTCCCAGTAGCATTTTGGCCATCTTCCGACCTGGGAGTCCCATCTTCCAATGGCATACCGACATATCTCTGGTTGTACTGGTCCATTTAGTTTTCTTGGCAAGGATACTGGAGTGGTTTGCCATTGCCTTCCCCAGGGATCACGCTTGGTCTGACCTCTCTGCCACAACCGTCCCGTCTTGGGTGTCCCTTCACGGTTTCGCTCATGACATCATTGAGGTGCTCAAGCTCCAGCGCCCTGACAAGGCGGTGATCCTTTGCTGGAGGCACAAGTATATACTATATATAATTCTCCTTGTAGTTATCTTTTCCCCAGGCTAACAACCCCGAGCATTGTAATCTTTCACCATAGGGGAATTGGTCCAGTCCTTTTATCATGCTGGTTGTCCCTTTATGTACCTTTTCCAATAGTGAAACAACTGGATATACACAGTACTCTTGATGCGGTCGCATCATGGATGTATGTAATAGCAGTATGATAGTGGCAATTCTGTTTTCAACTCCCTTATGTACAACACGAACTTCTTTTTTGCAATTGTCACACACAGAGTCAACATTTTCATTGAACTACCTACCACAACTGAGACATTACAGTTACACATCCTTTGTAACATTCTAGCTACAGTTTCTTCTCAACAATAAGCCTTTTTGACAGCAGGCCAGGGCCCTAAGGACAAATCTTAAATTTAAATAATAATCTCTATATTAATCTACATAATTTATATATATCTGTCCCAGGAGCATCCAAAATCCCTTCCTCTCACAACCCACAATCATTTTTGCTCTCTGTGCATGAACAAATAAAACTATCTTTGTTCAACATAATTTAAGTCACAAAAAGACACATACCATTAACTGCATGACAAGTTTTTCTGAATATATGCATCCCAAATGATTATTACAATAGCAATTGTCAATGTTGTAAATGCAACGTGTGGGAAATGTCAACATCCACATGTAAAAGATTACAATCTCAGATGAATTCCATGAACTTCAAAGCTTCAAAGATACAGTCAAGAAATGTTGATGAATGAAACAATGAAAGTAACAGCATTTACCAATATATTTCTAGCAACAATATACACCAGGGAGCAATGACAATCACAAGATTTGTCTCAGATTGTCAGTCTTCAAATGTAAATATTGAAACCCACAAATCTGCAAACATATTACAGATGCAATAAACTTTATTATAGAAAGAAACTATGTTTCCCCCCCAAGATACCCATATTTCCTCAGGATATAGTATGAAATGATATATGTGAAAAATTACTGGTGGTGGCAGATAGATAGATATATGGGCATTTTTGGTATTTTATATAATCCTTGTACTTTATATGAAGAAATAGATATAATTAGGACATTAAAAAAAGTTTGTACATTGATAATTGTCTTTACTCTTTTTCTTTAACCCCTTTCCTCTTCCTTTACAACGTGTTTAATATTTGTACAGTTTAATCTACTAACAACAACTCCACCCCATCCCTTTTTTTCTAATTGGTTTTCCCTTTTCTTCTCATTTTCTTATATAAATTTTTAAAAATTAATTTAAAAATTACTGGTGGTTAAAGCTGTTATATTCTACTTCCTCTAATCTAGTGTTTGAAATTGTATATCATGCATATTATAATTATGCAAATTACCCATATTTGCATTCTACATGTGCAGATTTAGCACATTAATATTTTTTTCTCACTATATTTCAAACTTGATACAACTTTTACAGATAAAACTGATTTGAGAGAACCAATAAACATTAATGTTTAAAGTGACAGATCTCTGCTTAATCATGGAGTTCAAAATGTGACTACAGGCCACCACTATGAGTTGAAACTGACTAGGAAAGCAAGAAATAACAAAAAGGGGTTTTAAGATACATTTGGGCCAGTTTCCAATGTTATCCCAAAAAGAGAACTATTTGCTGCCATGCAGCATTGGACCTCGGCAAGGGATCTAGACTGCAAATCAAGATTGATAAGGCGTTTGTCATGAATCACCTAGCTAACTTTAATTGGTTGAAATCCTGCAGGGTCAGGAGAACTGTGTTTCAAAATATTGAAGGAACTTGCAAATGTATCCTCTGAATCACTTGCCATCATTTTTGAGAAATCTTGGATAATGAGGACTGGAGAAGGGCAAACATTGTCTCTTTCTTCAAAAAAGGCACACGAAACATATCCAGAAAATTTAATTTCATACCTTATCTCTCTCTATTGTATACTGATATACTCTTTAAACAATTTCCAGTCTGCTGGAGTCACAGGTCTACCTGTATGTTCTTTCAATAAAAATTAAAGATTTTCTTATGATTTGCTTGCATTAATAAAGAATTGTTCTGATCCAGGAGTATTTAAGCTTATCTTTAACATCATCCGAATCTCACTACATTAAGAGAACAAAACAACAAATTGGCTATAAATGTCTCTATTCGTAATCAAAAAGGACAAAAATGAGGGCTCCACTTTAATTTGCTTTTTCTGTTATTGTTTTCCTTTTAAAATAACTCAGGCATTTTATTTTATTACTTTAAATTCAACTAAAAGCAGAAAAATGTGAGAAGTAAAGCAATTTGCTTGAAGTTCAAAACAGATAGTCTGTCACCAGAAATGCACAGGAATCTGACTAGACTACCAAGGATGAACGTGACAACGATTCTGTGCAGGAAAATGACTGCCTGTGTCAAAGCCAGTAGTGAATTACAAAATAATTTTATCTCTGTATATCGCCCTGAATGCTATACAATAAAGAGATTTTTTATGAATGCAGAAAGAACAGTAGCCCTGGGCATTGACATTATTTGGTATTTTCCCTCTGCTTAAAAAAAACAAAAAAAACCCTGCCTTAGCTCAAGGCAATGTATTCACAACAATGAATTACTTACTCTCGTCCATAGTATTTTGGCCTTTTATCTACCTGTTGAAAAAAAGAGAAAAGGGACACATTACACTTGGGGCAATAAAAGTCTTGTAAAATGTTAGTTTTCATTTATTATTCAGTTTGTCTTCAGATTAGCCAAATATAAATTGAGAATTCAAGATTTCTCCAACCACTAGAATGTAACAAAAACTCAATTTCTCCAACTGTTGACATGCAAGAATCATTGCGACCTTATTCTACAAAGCTCTCTGTTTGAACTATAAAACACAAAGAAAGGCTTTTTATATAGTTTATCGTCTCTAGATTATTTTAACCGAAAATGTAAGTGGGATACCACAGCTTTATTCACAAATGTCTCAAATATATATTTGTAGACACCTCATATATTATTAAGGCCTGCTTCACACCATATTTATTTTATGGAAATCACTTACACGTGGGAAACTTTTCGCAGTTACTACAAGTAAGCCACAACCTAAATCATGGTACATGGTGTTTGTACGCTTGACTGAGGTCACAATGAATATGGACTAGCACTATGTGATACAGGGAGAATATGTCTGCATTAACCATTTGCAATTTTCCAAAGATAAGGGCATTATAAGATAATAATATCTAAGCAGGATCAAACCAATTCCTATTGATTAAAACATCCTATTTCTCACAGTGTCCAGCCAGAAAATTCTAGGATGCATGGAAGCAGGTCAGGAGAGCAATGAGCCATTCTCACTTCTGAAAGTAGGAGATGGAAAATGTGTCTATTTATTCGAAGGGTGAAGATGATTTTTAAAAAAGTTTCCGCATTTGATGCATTCCAAGCTGGAACATAGTTACATAAAACCATGGGTATGTTGAAACACCATTACATGATCTGACTTTCAGCATTCCATAAAGCCGAGCTGGAAGAACTAGAAATTCCTAGAGAAGTATGCTCTTTAGGACTTTGCTGGGTTCTACAGGGTGACTCAATAGTAAATTCTGAGTGATACCATAGAATCAGCTGGAGAATCTAACAAATTCTTAGGCAGACCATTGTTCCCCTAGTGTTCTGAAGTTCCTCAGTTATGTGGTTCTTACTATACTTGTTTTCTGAAAAGTGCAATATTTTTTTCCCTCAAGGCTCCCATTTGGCTAACCCCTAATAACCGTGCCATTAGATCATTCCACTCAAAATTCTTGCACAAATTGTATTGTCGAAGGCTTTAATGGCTGGAATCACTGGGTTGTTGTAGGTTTTTTCAGGCTACATGGCCATGTTCTAGAGGCATTCTCTCCTGACATTTCGCCTGCATCTATGGCAAGCATCCTCAGAGGTTGTGAGGACCTCACAACCTCTGAGGATGCTTGCCATAGATGCAGGCAAAAAGTCAGGACAGAATACCTCTAGAACATGGCCATATAGCCCGAAAAAACCTACAACAACCCTGCACAAATTATTTAGCATCCCAAACTGCGTTCCGTACGCAGTTCTATGCTTAAAATCTGGCCAATACTCTATAGAGGCCATTATCTGGCTAATCACCATAAAATTTTGATTATATATTCACTACCAAAGCCCCAGTAACTTTTTGATCCAACTCACATTGAGGAAACTCCACCACTCAAGATGGTGTACGAAAGTCCTAGCAAAGATCAACTGGGCTATGATAGTGACTTCTTGAATATGCTAACTTTCACTGAGCTAACTTTCACTGCAGTGCTCACTAACCCCACATACAGAAGCACCTATATGCTGGCTAGATTTAATATTATGCCATCTCCGCTCCATAGAGGAAAACTCAATGGTCTACCAAGTGACAAGAGGCTTTGTCCCTGTAGTACAGGACAGCTGGATTTCGTCCCACATATTCTTCTGCACTGCCCACTCTACCAGGAACTAAGATCTAGCTTGCTACTACAAGTTATAGATTCTATGAAAAACCATACAGACCCAAAGTAATTATGCTTTTAAACTGCCAAGATTTTAACTGTTGCCTCTCAGTGGCAAGGTCCCTGAATGAAGTAAATTGAACGTCTAACAAATGTGAAGTTCCCTATTCTATAATTTATACTGTTTTTATATTATTTTATTATATATGCCAATAAAGGCTTATTGGATTAGTTTTTCTTTGACATCAGTAAATCCATTTCAGCCTCTCTCCAAACCTGAACAGACTGCAGCAATGTCAAGATGAGAACCAACCAATAGTGCATGTGTGGAGTAAATAAACCAGACTTTCCCTCTGCCGTCTGCAGACCTGAGCTGCCAGAGTTGTTCAATGACTCATCTGGAGGCTTTGTTGCTTAAGTCTACAAAGTGGATACCCAACTTCTTCCTGCAATGATGTGCAAGTATAGACTGACATTTGCACATGTGGGATTGAAGAAATATTCTCCGTTTAATGGATTCGTTCTTTTTTCTAGTTCTTTTGCTGACAGTTTCAAATATGGCAGTCTGGGACCTGAATATTAGGCCAGAGCCATTAAATTAGTAGGATTCAGGTTTGGCTTCTTAATTTTAGGATGAGAATAAGCACAAGTTTCTTAATGTCTAGGATCAACACCCAGCAGGGCTCACCATGGTTGGCAATGAAGTTACTTTTTAATTTCTACTCTTTGGTATCACCTGTCACTGTGAAAAGAAGCACCAGCCAGATCAGCAGTCACCCCAATTTTCACTATTGCCAACACTTCTGGGCCTTGCCAGCCATATATATTATGATGAGAGAAAGGCAAGAGGCACTGGAAATAATTCTTCAGTGTCTGGGCTAAGAGACTTCACAGTGGTTGGTGCTGCACTGCTTTCAGCACAACTGCCCTATCCTATTGCCCCCCCCCCTTTATCGTCAATAAACTTTGTCTATACTGATGAAGGGATTACAAGAGATCCCTTAGTTCTGTTCCCCACCCCAATTTCTGGTACGGAATAAAAACTGTGGCCTATATTCAATGTGGTGTTTCTTAATGCAAAGGCATTCTCCCTCCTGATCCCTCTCATGTGTCCTACAACATAAAGGCTGACAACTGGCCAAGACAGATTTTAGGTGCAATGGGGAACTGTAGGAAAGTCTTGAAATTGCCAACAGTTCAGCATTGATGTTAGGTCTGCAAAAGGTGATTAAAAAACAGCAACTGTGCTGCAATGGCACAGTGGCATGGGCTCATGTTGTCTGTTTTGCTGCAAAAAATCAGGGCAAAAGGCAAACACAGCTACAACACATGGTTAAATGCTCGGTGTCACCATTAATTATGTCTTAAACTAGACATTGCCTTGACATAGCCGCCCCATCTAGCATGCATATAACATGGACAGGGCAATGTTCATTAGGATGATCATCAGGCTCCAATTTAACAGAAAATACATTTGAGTATGCCCTACAAAGGGCTGCTTGGGACAAGGTTGTTTGGAGATACCCAAGCTTGCTGGTAATTAGCACATTAGGATGAAGTCTTATTATGAAGCAAGAAGTGGGGAGGGGGAAGGAGGCATGCTAATTAATGCAATCATTTGAATCACTTGATATCTTTTCATTTAAGATTATTTTAACATTGTGATGAGATGCCCAGTTGTGACAGTAAAGGGCATCTTATGTCACACAAACAATCAAGCAGCAGAGCAGCAACAACAGGCATACTGCTTTAAAGGGAAGAGTCTTGAAAATTGGCATTGTACAACTAGGATAAATTAATTACATCAGAGGGAGGTACCTGTATTTTATTTTTACAGATATACCAACTCCTCCCTATAAAAACCACATCTAAAAGATACTGTGTTTCATCCTCTGATATCAGTTCTGATTCAGTGGAAACTTACTAGTGTAAACCCAGTATAAATTGATTCTTAGGCATCTTAGAAATATTCTGTTGTTGCAGTTGAGATGAAATCTCTCCAAATTGATACTGCATCACACAAGACAATATGTATAGTTTGATTCCTTTAATCACACATCAAATTTTCTTTTCCAAATAAGCCAAGGAAATAAAAAGGCCAAGTAAATGGACATAAAATTTGTGAATGCTTACAAAGGGCTTAGCCATTGCCATTACACACTCATAAACAAAGAATGGCTCTCATCACAAGGAATTATATTCAGTCCACCCCACTATACTAACGTGATATTGCTCTTATTTATTTTGTTTTTTGGTAGCACTGAAGGATATCACAACAAAGATTAAGCTCGACCCTCAACTCTGATAATACATAGCTAACTCCCCAAATGACACAATGGGTTTCCTTTTGTCCCTCTGGCAAACAAAATGTTCAACCAGTCTGGAGTTGAAACAACAATATAGGAAGCTTCACAATATTCTCTGGTTAGAGTCCAGAATAAAGGTCCCTATTTAAAATGATTGGGCGTTATTTGGAATACCACCCTATGGAGCTTTGTGGGGAGTTCATCATTTATATTTCTGATTATTATTCAGGTTTGGAACATGTGAATTACACTGAATTGAATGCTTCTCATCATTCTAACAGGAATAATGTGTAAACCTCCCATTATACATCAAGGATAAACTCCCAAATGTCTTCATTTAGAATCTGAACCAAAAAAAAAAATGTGGAGGCTTATCCTATTCCAGATGCACATTAACAGATTTAATTATCCCTGCTATACTGCCAGGTTTCTTTGAGCTCAGTTGTACTTTCTGTTACTTCCAATCTGTTTATACAGCTTAACAGTTGAACTACTTTGAGAGGACAGGACTGCCTGCCCGCATCTCTCGTCTCCTTGTTCTGAAGCCCTGCGAGAAACTCATCCTAAAGGCCAGCCAAAAGATTAAAAAGAAAATCCAAAGCAAAAAGGTCAAATACAGTATCAACAGAAGATCACTAAACAACTCAGTGATGTACAATTTTGCAGTATGATTTAGATACTCAGATTCATGGTTTCCCACAGTCCAATGCACATATATTTGAGGGCGCTTCCAGACAGTGGCAAAACACGGGATTAAAAAGAGGGGCAAAAAAACACAGGACCTCAGAGCAAGTTCCCACAAACCTGCCAGTCCCAGGAATTATTCCCCCACCGTCCTCCCTCCTCACTGGTCTCAGTACA